TAATTTTTTCTTACTTTAGTTATATTATTATTTTTAAATTTTAATTATTAATTATAATATTGAAAAAATCTAATATTATTTTTTAAAAGTAATATAAATAAATAAGAGGACACAAATAATCATACGTAGTACTTTTTTTTCCTGTTTATATAAAAATTAAAATAATTTTTTCCTGTAGTAATTTTTTCCTGTTTATATAAAAAAGGAAAAAAGAAAAAAAAAAAGGACATACGTAGTACTAAAGTCCAAGAAAAAATGACGAACACATATACTTTTGTGGTTCCATTCCATTGTTATCCGGTGCTGACAGCAAGGTGCTGCTGCAAAATTCGCAATTTTTTAATGAACGGATGCCCTTGATCCCGAACAATATTATTTACAGTAAATAGCAATTGTCAAACGTGAGTGCAAGCTCAGCTCTCACGCAAGATATCGATTGGGACAATTATTGAGTGGTAGGAGGCATAGTTAACCATATAGTTTTGTTGAATATTGAAATCTGCAAACCAAGACAATTAGGTATCCCATGTTCTTAATCATTTTTTTAATTAATATAGTTGTATTTGACTGTGAAGTTGCTTAACTAGGGATGGGATGTGCATAGGAAGGCCGAAAACTTTGTTTTGCTACCTCCAAACAAAATTCTGTTTGTAGCATTTTTGTTTTATGAATGTGTCAGGCAAATGCTAATGTAGAATTTTTTTTTTCTTAATATGATAGAGTTAATTGTTCAATCTATAAAAAAAGTATGATAAGATAAAAAGCTACATAAATTTAAATTCTTATTAATGGGTGAAGAAATCTTTTATATTTAAATATTTAATTCATCATTGCACCTAAAGGCTTTTTTCAATATAAAATTTTTATCTAGCAAAATTAATAATGAGTAAAGGTTGAAATTTTGTTAAGCTTTACAATGCAATGCCTTGACGTTGAATCCTTCCATGATTTGTGGAAGCATATGAGAGAAAAAGATTAGGGAGGAGCCAATGAATCATTGATCCAGTGGGTTGTGGAACATGTTGAGATTTAATTAATCTTCTAAGTCTAATATCAAATCCAATGTACCCATAAAAAGGGA